CAGCCTCCCCTTTGCTGTGTTTCTTTTCTCTGCCTTGAGTTATCGAGGTATTTCCTAGAAGTGGCACCAGGATGTTCCAGGGGAAGGGATGCCAGACCTTCCCTGGCTGGCCCGGACCTGGGGAAGGAAGGCCAGCCGGGAGAGGCCTCTGCTGGGGTCCCCCATGCCCTGACAGCTCAGTCTTGAGGGGGCTGGAGCATTACAGTGCCTGGCTGAGTCCCTTTTTGCTGTTGGCAAGTGCTGTGGGTCAGCGCCTGCAGCGTTCGTGCTCCTGCTGAGATGGGAGCTACCTTCCCTGGCACGTTAAGACCACAGACCTGCCCCGCATGATGCACCTCTGGGCTCATTTTTGAGGTTGCTCTGGTCCCTGCCCTTCGTTTGGGGGCTTGCCCTTACCCCCCACCCTCCCCAGCTGGCATCTGCCTCCCACAGCCCGCCTGGCCGGGGCCGCTCGGGGCTGCGTTTTACTGCATTCAAGGAAACCTCCTTACCTCAAAGTTAACACCAAAGATGGGGAACCCCCTGCGTGCCCCCGCCCCGGGGCCCTGCCGCTGCCCTGAGAGGTTTGTGCTTTTCCCGCAGCTTTGCTCATGGCAGCCACGCTCGCCTCTCGCCGCGGGGCCATCCGGGGATCACCGCTTTCTCGGGGTGCCGCACCAGCCTTTTCCTAGTCCTGAACAGAGCAAGGCTCTCCCCTTCCCCAGACCCTCCTCTATTTAAAGCATGTCCCCGTCCACACCACTCGTGGAGAGGCCCTGGCTTTGCCCGTGGTTCGTTTGCTTGGCGCTTGCCGAATTCTCAGTGAGGAGAGAAAAGGAGGCCGGGAAAACCCATTTCAGAGAGGCTTAAACTCAGGAATAGCGAGGAGGAATTCTGCTAGGCACCCTCCGCCAGCCACTTCTCCGCTGTCACCCGGAGCCGTACCCGGTGGCTTTGACGTTAATTTTAAAATTATGCAATTCTCCCTCCCTGATCTCTGGAAAGACAGAGAGCACCTTCAAGGAAGCCCTTCCCTGCCCCGATCCTGTGTTTTCGTCAGGGTTAATAATATGTAACAATACCTTTTAACTAAATTATTACGCAGTTGTCCTACTGATTGTATGTATTTTTAAATGAGTCCCTTTTTTCTTCCCTTCACCTTTTTGTTAGCACTTTTTAATCCGCTTGTTGTTTGCCTTTGTTTTTCTATGTGTATTTATAATTAATTGAGATGTATATATGTAAAGAGATTTTTTTTAGAATATGTGCCTTGGACTAATAATTCCTGAATTTTCTACTTTACTCAGAAGGATAACTTTTTCATTCTGCTCAGTAAAAATGGAAAGGAAGCCACGTACAAGACTTCTGTAAGTCCCAGCTCTCTGTCTGTCTGTCCAGAGGTGTAGACCTGCCCCAGGATCCCAGCTGGGACTCGGATCAGGACAGGGAAGCTGAGGGCCAGGGTCCCGCTGGCAGCTGGAGTTTATCTCCTGCGTCACTGCTGTCCCAAGCCACCCCCTTCTCCCTGGGCCGAGCGGTGGAGGATCCTCCCTGGAGCCCGCCCAGGCATCGGCCTTCAAGGCTGCTCCTTCCCGGCTTTGCTGGGGAAAACACAGACAAAGGAGCCTCTGATCAGGCGCATTCCTCCAGCACGAGCTGTTGCTGCTTTGTCACATGCGCCTGCTGCGGCACCGGGACATCTCGCCCAGGCACTGCCCTCCCTGCGGGAGCTGGGGAGGGTGGTGAGCCACGGGCGCTGGTGACAGAGGAGAAACTCCCCCCTTGCCTTGTGTGACTTGGGCTGCGGGGCAGCTCCTCAAATCAGCCTGCCTGCCCTGGGGGGCCGAGCGGTCAGGCAGGATCCTTGATCCACAGGCATGAGGGGGGCTCAGATTTGTGGGGGGACCCCAGGGCTCTTCCCCACTCCCACCTTGGTCCTGCAGTGAGCAAATGGGTAAGGGGAGAGCCAGCACCTCCTCTAGGCTCCCACACAGCATGAGCCCTCCCTGCCCACGGGAGCCCCTAGCCCTCCATGGCCTTGGCCAGACAAGGCTGCAGCCGAGGCGTCCCGAGGATGACGGGTGCACCCAAGGTCCTGCACCCTGCGGTTGGACACTTCTCTGGCTACATGAGGCGTTTCACCATGTCCCAACACGAATTGCATCTGGCTTGCGCCACTGCTGGAGCTGGCCCCTTTGCCACTGGCCAGGGCCAGGAGGGCTCTCGGGGCTGGGGTGCTGCTGGGCGCCCAGGCTTTGCCTGCAGTCTGCCAGCCTCGGAGGAAAACAACCCCGTTGCCTCATCGGGGCAGATGCCTGTTGGTTTAGGGTGAGGACAGCTCCTAGCAGGGTCAGTCGCAGAAGGGACATGTGCTTTCCCCCTGCTCTTCCTGCGTGAGCACAGGCTGAGCCAGGATTTGTGTGCAATTCCCCCGTCAGCACTAATGAGGATTATCCCTGCTGCACTCGGGAGTTGTGCAAGGCTTTGGCTCCCCTGCAAAGCTCTGCGTTCTCACGGGGAGCAGCACAGCCGACCCAGCCCTGTCCACCCCTCTCTGCCCCAAACCCAGACACAACCACTCATTTCTCATGTGTTTATTGCAAGGAGACACCCGAGCCTGCTTTACGCCCAGAGAAAAGGGCTGCCCAGCAGCAGCCGCCAGCCCTGTGAAGCCTTCTTCCCGCAGGTGCACGCCAGATCTTCAGGTCTGCCTCACCAGCAAGCTGGCTTGAAGGCAGGCCGTCATGGGGGCTGGGTGAGAAGGCTCCACAGCAGCAGGAGGGCTGGTGCTGGGGTGCAGGGTCAGTGCAGGGCTGAGATGAGCAGATCTACAGGTAGGCAGGCAGGTCCTTCTCTATCACCTGCGAGAAAGAAGGGAGCATCGTGCTACAAGAATATCATCACCCCCAAACCATGCCCCAGCCCTCTCCATTACACCCCAGAGGGACTGCTTGGAACCACCTACCCGCTCTGAGCTGGGCTCCCGCTTTCCCTGGTGCCACAGCCCCCCCCCCCCCCCCCATTTCACCTTTTGTCCCCCAGCCAACAGGGGAAATGAGCCAAGACACAGCAGCAGAGCCTGCTCTGGCGCAGTGCTCAGCCCCAGCATTGCTGGGTTTCTCTGTGGACGTGAGCCACCCTCACGCTTCCCTTCTCCTGCTGGAATACCAACCATGCCGGCAGCACTTACGTAGGGATCCTCCATTGGACTGTACCTCTTCACCACTTGGCCCTCCCGGTTAATGAGGAACTGTAGAAGCAAAGTAGTGGCCACGTGAGTGAGCCCAGCCGGAACAGGGGCTCCGCAGCCCTGCGAGAGCAGCAGAGCAGCCTGGGAGCTGCTTACAGCAGGGTTGGGTCCTGTCTGCAGAGCTGTAGCCCCTGGTAGAGCTGCTCCCCCTCAGCTGGTTACTGCCTCTCTGGGACAGGGCTGGAGATAACCAGGCTGGGGGCTCCCGCAAGTCTCTGGGGACCGGGGCAGGGCAGGAACCCCTCGAGATGCTCCTACCCTGACATCCAGGGTAACCACACAGAGCAGAGCCTGTGCACGAGGATCCCTCCTCCCTGCAACACCTCAGGGACTCCCCACCGCCCCCCAGAGAGCAAGGGTGCGGCCCAGGCAAGCCTGGGAGTAGGCAGCTGCCTCCTACCTTAGTGAAGTTCCATTTTATTGCACTAGGAGAGAAAAAAAAACGGGAGTGAGACTGGCAGGAAAAAAAACCCAACAAGTCTTCCTCTTGCTGCAGCCAGGCTTCTCTGCCTGCTGGGGCGGCTTCTGCAGCCCCCCCTTCCCACACTCACTTGCCCAGGGTGCCTCTTCCTTTGGGCTGATCCTTCATCCACTTCCAGAGCGGGTGGGCATCGTCCCCATTGACATCGATCTTGCTGTACATATCAAACTTCACACCGTAGTTTTCAGCAAATGCCTTAATCTGAGCGTCGTCCCCAGGCTCCTGCGGAAGGCACGGGAAGGGGCACTCAGGGAGCATCCCGGGGCCATCCTCGCTCTCCCGGGGAGCCCTCGCCCCGCTCCCCCCACAAACCTGTTTTCCAAACTGGTTGCAGGGAAAGCCCAGGATGCGTAAACCCCTCTCAGCGTATCTGGCGTGCAAGTCAACAAGCTGAGTGTAGTTTACAGCAGTTTTTCCTCATTTTGAAGCCACATTGGTGATGATGCAGACGTAGCCTCTGGAAAAGGGGTGAATCAGCAGCTGCTCCCCAGCAAGAGCGGGAAGGCGCCCGTAAACAAGCTGCTCTCCCGCCTTATGCAATCGATTGCGCCTGCTGCCGCTTAATCAGCGCCCAGCCCCGCAGCGAGGCCCTTTGAGCCGCGTTCCCCCACCCGGGGCGCTCGGCCCCACGCCCCAAGGCCGAGCGGCGCCCAGCCCTTTCCCCCTTACCGGTACTTCTCTAGGGAGACGTCGTTGCCATCGATGTCTCGGGCGTGGAAGTCGTAGATGGCCTTGCGAGCGCCAG